TAGTTTAATTTGAATGGTGAGCTTCGGAAGGAAAATTTGTCATTTAGTCCTGGGTAATCTGAAGGGTTCAAACGTGAATCGACGCCATCGGTCGTTAGACAGTTAGGTAAAGTGAGGGGTTGATTTCAAGGGTTGAACTTGAATGAAAAGAGCCAAGAAAAGCCTTGATGATCTAAAAAATTAAAAGCAAAAAATTTACAGATTATGATCAAAAGAGAGGCCTTGATGATTTTGTGTTTGAAAAAAATTTGATTTTCAAATTTAAAGATCCAAGGAGAACGCTTGATGATCGTAAAAAAAATTTCAGTTGTTTTTGGAAAAAGAAAGTTAAATTTAGTAAAAATTTCGAAACTTCATGGGCTACTCTGTTTAAAAGTTTTTTATTGAATGTTTTATACAAGAAAATCGGGACAAAAGAACTCAATGAACGCTGATGTCCAATGACAGTTAAATTTTAAATTATATTTTTTGTGTTTTTTGTGTTTTGTGACTAATTTAAAAAATTAAAGTGGATTTTCAAAAAAAATTTGAAATCTTTGAAATTTTTAAAATTTTATGGATCTTTTTTCAGTATTGATTTTTATATTACCGTTAGCTTATTAGATTATTAATATACAACTCAAATGTAAAAGACCACATAATTTTCAAAATTACGCTCAATTTGATACAGTTAATATAGTAATTTTGGATTTTACTGCAAAAATATTTTATTGACAATTGTCGTCGTTCCTGTCTAATTTTTTGCTTTGCCATGCAGATTTGGTTTCAGTCGCTTTGTGATGGAGGTTTGACTTCAGTTTTGACTCGGCTTCACTATACTTGTAATTTTGTTAGGTTCATTGATCGCACCAACTGAGTTTGAGTCTGGGGTGGCCTTCTCATAGAGTAATTTTTGATAGGGTACACCGTCTGGTTTTCGCGTTATCTGTTTTTGGCTGGATCGGCTTGAGCAGCACCTTAGTCCAATACCAATCCCATTATTACTCTTATATCAATTTTTTTCTTATTCTCAGTAGATATACTGATTTTATCGCAAGTATAGAGGGAAAAAGAAACAATATTTATTTTTACATGTCTGAACCACTACGTTTTCAATCTTACAAAGCTAGAGTGATATTTAATCATGAATCAAGATTGGTTAGTAAAAATTATTTACAGCGAAAAAAATATAAATTAAATTACTAGTTTCGAACTGGTTTCTTATTATCTACAACCCTGTCAGGTCATTATACCAACAACTTTGAAGTCGCGTAGATTTGGAACAAAAAAAAACAGCAACAAATTAGCAGTTATTAAATAAACAAAAAACATGAGATTTAAAAAAGAATTCAAAAACATCAAGTGGCCTCAATAACGCTAACCAGGCAAAAACATCAAAATTGTGCATGATGGGAAACTTTAAGAAGAACATTTAAGAAGAACATTTGTTTTTCTTGAAGTAGTCGAAGTTAGTAAGAAGGCAAAATTAGCAGGTTTATCGTTAAATTTTAATAAGAGCGCAGTAAAATTTAAAAACCAAAAAGTTATAGTTTTGCAAAAAAGTGAAAAAAGATGAAAAGGTTTTTTTAAAAATGTTAAGGTCATTTGATTGTTTTTTTTTGTTCAGACCTTCGAAGAAAGTAAGGAATATATATGCTCGGGTTTTCTTTGTCTCAGACCTATTCTCAAAACTAATATCCTCGGGGGATCAATATATTGATCTAATAAGAGCGCAGAAATACTTTGATCCCGAAAACTTAACGCGCAATACTCACGTTAATTACTCACGCGCAATTTGCAATTACACCGCATCACAAAATCCATTCAAATTCAATTGAGATAGGTTAATTGGTCTTATTAATTGTTCCGACTTTTGAAGAAAACTGAAGATTGATGATCAGTTTGGTTTTTTATTCAGACATTTTTTGCCGCTCGAAAAAACAATTTTAACAGAATTTTTTTCTACCCCAATGAAAATATCGACTTTCTGAGTTCAAATGAAAAAAGTTATTTCACTTTCGATAACTTTTTGTAAAGTTCTGGGGTTTGAAAATTGCCAATTTGCCATTTTCTGAACTAAACTATGCGCGTTCTGAAGAGTTTGTTCATAATGCCGAGACTGTAACACGAAATATTCATGGACGGAGAATTATCCCGCACAAAAAAATTGTTCCAAATTGAATTCAGGCTAGCTAATTGGTCGTATTAGATATTATCATAATTTTATAGTTTTTCAATATATTCTTCTCCTAAAAACTGTTCGATTTGGAAACAATTATAGACATTCAGGGCTTTGCCGTGATATAGGTGCAGTTTTTTTGTTCATTCACGATTCTTAATATTCAGTTTGAAGTTCATAGTTTGTCAACATTTCATTGATTACAAGTTATTCGAGACCAGTTTTTGGACAGTCGGAACTTTCAAAGCTTTGCTTTCATACGAGCAATCTTGTTTTTATTCACGCAGATTTTTACGGTTTTCTCAATTTTTCAAGGCATTTTCTGATGAACGAGTTTAAAAGAACAGTTTTGATTTAGAATAACTGGGTCAAATGAACAAAGAAAAAAATTTCAAAACTTTTTTCTCACAGTTGGTTATTTTTGGAAAAAACTTGACAACAGCAAAATTTATCTGATATTTTTAAGCACATCTAAGGTGCAAAACGTTTTGCAAAATTTCAAATCAATTGAACGACGACAAAAAGGAGAAGTTCAATTGGTTCACATGACTAAATCGAAATTAAGGAAGAAAAAATGTTAAATTGATGTAAGAATATTTGCAAAAGAGCTCGTTTCCTCTCTCTTTTTCAAAAAACTGAACATACCCATATTTGTGGTGCCATTTTTGTCGCAATAATTGCAAAATGAATTTAATCATAAAAGTGCTTGCACATTTTAAACAAATTTTGTCATTGTTTTCGATGGGAGGGAAAATTTTGTCTTCGTTTATTTTATCCGGCTATTTTGAAACGTTACAGTGAAATGCAGTGAAAATTCAAAAAACCGGGAAAACATTGGTTCGAAAAAATATTGCTGCCTATGACTAAAAAACGGTTTCAGTAACCCACATATTTGTATTTGTAAAATGAGAAAGAAGTCACAAAAAAAAGCTGTATTGAAAACAACTTGTATTTAAATAACCACTAAAAATTATGAAGTACAAAAATGAGACATAATTTTTTTTGCTATTGTGATGCAATATTTACAGCTACAGTATTATATAGGCTCAACACTTGTGCTTGTGGCTCAGTATCGGGAAAAAGCAAGTTGGGGCCTTGTTAAGTAATTTCAGCAGATATTTGCGCACCTATAAATTCAGTATAAGAAACCCGCATTGGCGAAAATAAGATTGCAATCGATTATAAGCGATTTTTATACAGATTTTCTACTAGTTTAAAATCGATCGTATGTAATCCACTTAGACATTAAAATGAATAAGAATATAGGGATTTTTTTACAGTTCAGAAAAATCGATTTTGTAGTCTAGAAAATGGATTTTTTTGCGGTATAAAATCTGTATATTATCTGCTTAAAATCGATTATAATCGACTGTAATGCTTTTTCTAAGGACCCAAAAAGTCGATTATGTTGTCTAAATAATGGATTATATTGTCTAAAAAAATGATTTTTTACTCTTAGTAGCATGCTGTTTGAAAACTCAAAACAAAAGTTGAATTCAAAATAAACGACACAATTTCAAGGAAATCATCGATATAAACAAGACTGGGTCACAAAAATGTGCAATAAAATCATGAAATTCATCAATATAAACAAGAGTTTGGGCAAAAACATATGTAATAAATGAAGAAAGTGGTTAATCAATTGATAATCAAATTGAAAATCAAATGGTTTATCAATTTTGATCATTTTCATTAAAACAAGACACGTAACAAAAGTTTTTTTTCAATTCGAAATTTTTTCTAAAAAATTGAAACGAAATTACAATGGATTCTGAAGGGTATATAATCTGTATATAATGTGCATACAATCTGTATAAAATCTGTATAAAATCTTTTTATAATTTGTACCAAACAATGCACTTAAAAATGGATTTTGGTAACTATCGTATCGATTAAAGTAAGTATAAATTGCAATCGATTGTAATCAATTTCGATAGCCAAAAAAATCCATTATTTAGTGCATAAAATTAAACTAGCTCGCTGAACTGTAGATTTTACTTGCGATAATCGATTGCAATCTTAGTTTTCGCAATGCGGGAAGGTTAAGATTTTTCTACTTTTGTCACCTAAGTAATCATTGAAAGTTCAAATGCGGCAAGCTGTTAAGTCCTCTTAATATTTACTGGACGACAAATACGTGCACTTTTCTGGAGGGTAAAGACAGTCGCAATATTCGAGGTTTCGCCAAGTGACGAGCAGTATTGTTCTTCTTAAAATCTAATTGGTTGAAGTTTTCGCTAACAATATATTCGCTTTAAATTGGCCGGGGTTTGACAAGAGGCGCAAAAGATCATTCGAGTGTATTTCATTTTTATATAAGATTAGTTCTGCTCCCACAAATTCAATTGTAAATGTTGTTGAAGGTTTTATCTGTGACGATGATTCAATTAATACCATCATCAGAAGTTTTCAAACAAAAACTGAAAAACCTAAGCCAAACCATTTCGGTCCAATAAGTGTTGGATACAATGCTGAAATTAATTGCTGCTAAAATTGTGTTTGTTTATTCTACTCTGACCCCTCCTGCCAATAATGGCATAATTAGAAAAAATCAACAAGTTTTTTTTTACTTCATATAAAAATGAGCCTGTCTTTTACTGTCTTTTTTCACAGTGTTTGACCTATAAATGAATGAGTATCTATGCGTTTTAAAAAACGACTGAAGGGTATCAAAGCTGTATTAGAAAACTAAAAGCTGCAAAGAGTTACAAGAATAAGCAGTCAATGATCCTCTTAAGTTATCCATCATTTGATTGACTTTGAGAGTGTCGATCCTTGATATCTTCAGCTGCATCATCTTCTTTATCTTAAATTGTAATATTGTCATATGTTTCGATTTGAAATCAGCTTTGATCTTCTCATTTAATCTGCTCCGCCTCATCAATATGCGCACTAGAAAAGACTTTGCTTCAATTTTTAATATTCTTCTGGATGTTTTAACTGGCTTGTACCAAACCGTTATTGGTCAATTCAAAAAGATCTTAGGCATACACTTACAGAGTGCTTGAGCACGGAAAACTCAAAACAGGAATTTTACTTGCTATGGGGGCTTTCCTAAACGGTTAGTACAAACTTTTCTGGGAACTATTCTGGAGTGTTTCTTAAACATTTCCCGTAAAATACAAAAGCATTGTGCAGTTTGAGAACTTTCAAGTCTTAAGCTATTTGTCTAAAAAATAAAGAACTTTCAAATAAAAAGAGAGTTGAACTAATTGTTTCAAAGAGTGCTCTGACAAAAAATTTAATCAAACAAAAACATTTGCTTCCTTGCGCGACCAATTTTTCGATTTCAGCGGTCGTACCGATATTGAACCCGCAATCAAAAATCTTTAACCAGGACTTGGTTTTTTAGTCGCGGACAAACTCTGCGTTACCGTATCTTGGTGGCGATGTTCTGGAAACTAGACTGGATAATCTAAAAATAAGTTGCGACATGATCTGAGACTGAGTCGCGACACGGTCGTAAGATTTTGGCCATGAGATGAAAAAATTTCACCAGATACAGTGAAACTGATCTGTTTGGATGAACCGGTTTCGTCTTTCAACGAAGCGGACAATTTATTTTAAAAGACACTTCTTCGTAAATACCCCTTTAAAGCCACAAAAATTATTACTTAGGATCTGAGTGGCGATGGGTTTCTAACTCATAGAGTAATTTCAGATAAGGTACACCGTCTGCTCGTCACGTTATCTTATTTTCGGCCGGATAGATTCGTGCAACTTCTTAGTCTGATACCGATCTTAATCTTACACATATATCTCTTAGTCTCAATAGATCTAGAGTATACTGGTTTGTTACGAGTCGGTCTTTTGGAGAAACCAACTAGTTTGTAAGTTAAATTCAAAATGCTCTGGTGCTGAAATCACAAGTGTTTTCAGCACTTACAAATAAGTGGGTTGTGATTGGTGTGTGATTGGTTAGTCTTTAATATTTTATAGGGATAAAATAACTAATTTATAACCAAAAATAATATATGGTTGGGATCAGGTTCCACCCATCCGGGATTTACAGAGTTTTAGTTCTTTGACTTCTTTCTGTAATGGGGGATGGGAGATTGATCGTTTGTATTCCGCGAGCACCATTTCTATTCCGTCCTTGGAGGTGTGAGTTCCAGGAAGCTGGAATCATCGAGGTTGTTTTGTCATTCAACGATGACTGAGACTGTCAACAAAATCAATCTGATTTCCAAATGGTTTATTATGATTGTCCGTTCTTGATCGGTGTGGAGAACTGTGTTTCGATCTGATTTGGGAATGGCGTGAAGCTCGAATTTGGAGGGAATGCTTTGTAACTCGGATCTGTTCGTATAATTGAAAATCAAGATGTCATTGGTCTGTTTCAATGAAATCCTTTGCTTCGGAGTCAAGTCGTACTTCAAATCCTTTGAGTTGTGATTGTGAGCTGCATATCGGTTGTGATCAGCCATTCTGTGGGTTGAGCGTGATGAGGTCGTCATAGCTGCTTGATGCTCGTCTTCGTGATTGTGTATGGTCTATATTACTGCGTTATATAATTTACATAAATAAAAGTTAAGTTAGTTCCTCTTTTAGTTATGATTTTTTATTAGTTTTTATTGCAAAATTTTTTATTTTAGTTCAGTTATTTTAAAAGAGTTACTCACACTTGAGTACCTCTTATCAAAAATAAGGATTATGTCACAAAGCGTGGGTTCTAGCACGGTGGCTTCGGCCGGCTATTAAGCATGCTCAGGACGTCCTCTTATGGTGGGTTAGGCCAGGAGTGAGAGTATGATTGCATGCTGGTTTTTTATGGGGTCCTGTTTTGTGTTAACCTTTTTTGTCATGTTTGTTAATGGTTTTTTCCTTTTGTTGTTTTGGTTGTGTCCTTTTCTCAAAAATCAAATTGTTTGGTTTGTGTTCGTCTTTCGACTTTTTGGTGTTTTATGCTTTTTTTTAGACTTATCAATAGTCTTCAAAAGAATAAATTATCGGTTCTCTAAGTTGGTTTAATCCGGTTTGGGTAACGTGGGTTTTCTTTTCTTAGTCATGCTGTTAGTTTGTGGCTTATGGTGTTTAGTAAGCTGCGTTGGTTAGTTAAAATTATTAATTAATTCCTTTCCAACCTGGTTAAAGGAAAGTTTGAAAATTGTTATTTTTAGTTTTGAGTTGTTATTAGTGAAAGTTAAAACTTGAAATCATTATTTTAAGCGATTCGTCGTGGGTGAGCTGTGCGAGTGTGGATAAAATTTGTGTGCGAGTGAATTGATTCTTGAAAAGGTTAGTACTGCTGACATTTGTATAGATTTACGGCTGAAAACGTCAAATTTAATGCTTTGTGGGGATTGAAATTATTAAATGTTTTTCGTTGTATTTAGATTGACTACATTGTGGAAAAGAGTTTATAGATGAATTTACTACTGTGGAGAAGAAGTTTTACGGTTTATATCATTCATTGCGGTTTGCTAATAAGAGTTTATAATTTATAAAAGAGTTTGAAATTTTTCGTTTTTGCTTTCTGTTTGTAGATGATGGTGATCTAAAGACTAAAGGAAAAACATTTGATAAGAAATGGTTAGTTTGTTTCAAATTTATTAGTTATAAGTTATTAAGTTCATACTTACCTAGTCATCGGGGAAGAAGCCATGAGGAAAGATATCGTGTGTTGAATCTGACGTGGTTAGCAATTTTGCTAATATGCGAATGATATTTTTAGTTTCAAGCAGTGGCCGAAGCAATTCAAGTGCTTTGATGGTGATTAGTTTTTCAGTGCCAATGGAAATTTTGTGATTCGTGTGCTGTATGAGGTTAAAAAGCTTGTGATTATATTAAGTATTGTGAATGAGTTCTATTGGGATTTCTACAGGTAGAATTTATTCATGCGGGACAATGAGGGGTCGGGATTCTTCTACATTAAAGGTCTTGGTGAGTGGACTACATATATACATTTGGTTTTTTGGGTCGTTATTTCTGAGGATGCCTTAGAAATTAGTATTTTTAATGCAGTAGGTGAAATTTTGAAAAAATGGTGATGTGTATTTAGAATAAATAATCTGACATCGATGGTGGGGTTGTCGTGATAGTGTGTGTAAATTAAAATAATTTTGATAAGTATGCGTTTGTTTAGTTCTCAACATGATGTCGTTTGAACAGTGCAGATCTCTATCTTTTGGAGTGAGGAAGTGGAAGGTTAGTGAAAAGGTTTCAAATTCGTCATAAAATGGTTCATAAGCTTGGTTGTCGATTAATGCTTCGGAAATGATGTGATCGTGCTTTTTATCCAATGAGCTGAGTGTAAAGATGTAGGGTGTTTGGATGAAAAATTTTTCGGTTAGTTGCGGGTTAGCGAACTTATCTTCGTCGAGGAATTGATCTTGGTTAGGTCTGATGACATTATGGTCATAGTATTCGATGGAATATTCATTAGCTCGGGGTGTGGTGAAAATCTTTAATAGTTTTTTATATCCTACATGCGTAAATTCTCTAGGTGTTAGTGCTGTCGTTAGTCTAAAAAGGTCCATTTTACTTTTTTCTACTTCTTGGTGTGTGTTAATTTGTGGTAAGCAAAGTGGATTTGAAAAATAATAAAATGATGTCCAGTGAAGTGTGGGGATTAATACATGCTCATCGACATAGTGAGGTTGTTCAGTGTGAGGGTTGGAATGACTAATGGTATATTGAGGAAAGAGGGGTAAGGAGGTTTGGAGAAATTCGGGATTATTAGTGTGATCAGGGTGATTTACATAATCGCGGGCTGTTCCGGATTTGGAAGGAGACGTGTGGTTAGGAAATTTTTATTTGAATGTTCTATATGCATGGTTAGTAGTGGATGATGAATGGGTTGATGTTGAATATTGAGCTAAAGAAGGGGTATAATCTGAAGAGGGTGTAGGAGTAGGTGGGTTTGATGATGTTCTGTTTGACAATAATTGATGAATGGTTAGGGTGTGAGGGTGTTGTATTTGTTGTTGTAGGGTTATTTGGTCAATTAGTTCATGTGAGATTTGTGTGGTTTCTGGGGAATTGTTGTTGGAACGTTCATTGGTATGGGGGGATTTTGTCGGGGTTGCTTGGGAAGTATGAGAGATGGTAGAGGTGGAATCATTCTGGGATTAGGAGTGAATGGGTCGAAAGGGGGTAGAGAAAATGTTGATGGGCTGGGTTCGGAGTTTGCGAATTCGTCTGGGGTTTCTATGTCGGATTTCTTAATTTGGGAAATTGTATTGAAAACTGTGATATCTGAGTTAGCGTCACAATCCATGCCAAGTGAAGTGTTAATATGGGGTGACTCAGGTGGCGCGAAAGCAAAAAGTGAGATAATGGGAATTGGGTTTTGGAAATTGGCTGGATGGCAAATTGAACGGCGAAGGGATCCAATTTGTCGGCTCATCGTGGGCTAAAAAAACGATTGTTCTGAGATTGAAAACTTATTGTATGTGGTTGTTCGATTATTTGTTCATGTGTATCGTCGTTTGGAGATTGTTGTGTTACTATGTGTTGAATCAGACTTTGTATATGATTTGGTCTTGAATTTGCAATATTTACGAGTGCTAAATTTCTGAAATTTCGTGGTACTAGCGATAATGGTTGATTGCAATTTAGACTTGGTAGTTGTGGTGCTGTGGGTAATGTGTTTGTATGTTGTTGTGATTTGTCATATGTGTTTAGTGTAGTCGAAATTTTTGTGTTGTATTCTTTTATTTGTGCATCTAAAAGTATTTTATTGATGGATGTGGACAATATTCCAAAAAATCCTACAAAAGGTATGCGTGCTACGCTTGCTTGTCTATTTACTTGTGTGTGTATTGCACATGTGTTATAGATGCCTTTTAATAAAGAAAAATAAATTCAATAAAATTAAACAATGCGTATAATATAGTCAATCTTTCTAAGATGTAATAGGGCCATCCTAGAATGGATAAGAGTTCGTTTTTTAGATTTACAAAACTATAAAATGTTGAATGGTGATATATCTTGTGGTCCGTAATTTTCACCGTTTAAATAAATATAATCTTTAGTTTTTTCAAAATATCCGCTGTAATCTTGTATGTAAATATCTGAAAATCCTGCTGTTTCTGCAGATTTACGTAAGTTTTGATCTAT